CCCTCAGGCCAAGAACCTTTATACACTTAACCCTGAATATAGTTTACTCTGCCCTTTGTGCAGTTCCTTATTTTCATGTAATTATTTTAATGGCCCAACTTTATTTCAATCCCATTTAATATTGGGTTTTGTTACCATGAGTATTTGAGGATTAAATGTACCCTTTGTAAAGACAAGAAACCGTGCTCAAGTTGTACAGCATCATTTGTCAATGTTATCTTCCTTGAGTTATATAGTTTAAAAAATAAAAAATAAAAACCCACAAGTAGTCAGATTCCTTCATCACTGCAGTTGTCTTAAGAGCTCTCCACACATTTCATTGTGATTGTTAGGTTGAACTGTGACTCAGGTTGCTATCAAACCCCATTCATGGGACAGCCGTCCTAATGGTGTTAGCGAATACCTGGCCCGCTTTCTCTTGCACTCTTCCGACGCCTGAACACCGACATCAGTGCCCGGCTTTAACAGAGTGCATATCAAAGTTAATGTACTAAAGAGTTTAGGAAAAGACTTTTGCAATTTGATATAAAACCCAGAAGCCCACTCATATCCACATCCTCCTTTTCACCTGTGTTGGGCTGACAGAGCAGTCATATAGTCCGATAACCTTCAGAGCCTACCTCATTTAGACATTCCACATTAACCCTGCTAATGTTCACCAGCTTGTTACAGTGGTCCTTTCTACAATTACACCGCAACACATTCGTTTCACACAACAAATTGTGGCTGCACTTGATGTTGAAATACAGCAACATTACAGCCAACAGTGATCTTCAGTAAATGTCAAATGAACCAACAGAACAACAAAGTCCAAGTGTAAAAAAACACTGTTTTATTGTTGCCATAGTCAATGATTTAAGACCAATCGGCAGTGGCGCCACCCCAGTCAGATGCCTGGGCAGTGGGGGCGGTGGACCAGTCCTCCGTGGCAGGCTGGGTACTCCAGTCCTCTGTGAGGGCGAAAAAGCAAATTCAGTGTTTAATAAAAAATAAAAATTAAAATTAAAAAATGAAATAAAACCACCCCCCTAATTAGAATTTTAGATAACTCACTAGGTAACGCCTCACCTGTTTTTACAGCTGGAGCAGCTGTAACAAAAAACAAAACAAGAGACAGTTAAGTCACAATCATAAAATTGTAGTTTCATCAGGTTTGAATAAAGATCAAGTTTGGTCAATCAAAAGAAACTGTACCAGCAGGGAACTGTTGGATGGGCACAGATGGGACAGCAACACCCTCAGACCAGTCAGCAACCTCAGGTTGGGTGAACTCGGCTGCAGGGGCGCTCCATTCACCCTGGAACTCCTCCTTTCCAACAGCCTTCTCAGCTGCAGCCTGCTCCTCCTTCTCGATCTGCATTGGAGATGTGTGCATTAGAGTGTGCAAACCAACTCGTGTAACCATCATGTGCAACAACCTCAAGCCTGTGTACACCTCTCAACATTCACTGATTGAGTCTTACCTCCTCAGGGTCCCTGTAGAAGTACAGATCTGGCATGACCTCCCATGGGTGCTCTCTGGAGATGGTTCCCCTCATCCTGAGAACCTCTCTGGCCAACATCCACCACATCAGACCCACAGAGTGGTGTCCCTACAATAGTCACAGATTGGCTGTGAGAACCACTGAATAAAATTCAGACCTGCTGTGGTTCTATTATACATTGTTTTATAATAGCCACAGAGGGATGAAAATATACAGTTTGTCTTGTGGCGCAACCACTATCCCCATCCCCAAGTGGTTCAGAGTGGAGGTTAGAGGTCAAGCATTATTATTTAGCACACATCCTACACCCAGCACTGCACGGAGGGCAGCGCCGGGCTCTAACAGTGTGCGTGGTTTATCAACAGAAAACATTTGTGGTCAGAATCATTATTCAGTTGTTCTCACCTTGTTGTTACAGGGGATGGCAATGTCCACGTATCTCAGTGGAGAGTCGGTGTTGCACAGAGCAATGGTGGGGATGTTGACATAGGAAGCCTCAGTCAGTGGCTGATGGTCAGCACGAGGGTCTGTCACAATCAGGAGACGGGGCTCCCTGAAAGCAGCCTGGATCTGATTGGTGAATGTTCCAGGGGTGAAGCGACCGTGGAAGGTGGTGGCACCGGTGGCAGAGGCAAACTTCAGCACTGCTCTCTAAAGTGGCCAGAAAGAACAAGTTACTTAAAATCTGTTCACTTCTTATGATTATTCTCATTCGTTAGGTTGAACTGTGACTCAGGTTGCTATCAAACCCCATTCATGGGACAGCCGTCCTAATGGTGTTAGCGAATACCTGGCCCGCTTTCTCTTGCACTCTTCCGACACCTGAACACCGACATCAGTGCCCGGCTTTAACAGAGTGCATATCAAAGTTAATGTACTGATGTATCACCACGTCAGTGTTTAACTTTACCTGTCCAGTGTTCCTGGAGGAGATGACGCACACATCAGCTGGGTTTTCAATGGCAACAATGGCCCTGGCTGCCAGCAGCAGCTTCTCCCAGGTCTTCTTCAGGTTAATGATGTACACACCTGATGATTGAGGGAGAAGAAACTTATTTCATTCATTTATAACTTATGTATCACCATGGTGCAGACTTATTCACTACTTAATCCGTCTATCTTGTTGAAAGGACACAACAAATAATTGCTGCGCCATCTTCGACCACTCACCGTCGCTTTTTCTCTTATAGACATACTGATCCATCTGGAAGTCCAAGTTGGTGCCTCCCAGGTGGGTTCCTGCAGCCAGGAACTTCAGCACATCCTCCTCCTTCATTTGAAGGACATCCAGACCTCCGGACATCGTGACCACTTTCCCTGCGTTACGAGTTAGATGGGAGAGCTGGGAATAAGATGAACACAGGTCAATCACAGCAAGTTTGTGTCAAGTGTGTGCAGGCAGTTTAGAATAAAAACTTCCATGTCTCATGAACTAATGTGACCCAACAAGGTTTATTTCTTATTCAGGGAAACCAGGATGATTTGTTGGCTATAAAACTGACTTGATGGGGCTTTAAATTTCCTTAAAAATGGCACTACAGCATAGCAAGGGGAGTTAACTAATGGCATCCGGGTTACACGCGGCCTGTAGGCGCGTACAACCACTGCTACCAAAGTGTTCACCGACTTCATCTCATTCTTACGGCTTTAATGGCACATTTGTCACTGTATTTCATTTTCTGGTAAGCTCCCAGTTTAAAAAAAAACTGTGTCAAAGTCTGTTCAGTATTTATAATCAGGCGCGAGAGGAACACTGCAAGATGAGCGCGTGTCAACGGCTAGCAAGTTAGCTATCACATTAGCATGCTCTACTTTGGGATAATTTGGGACATTAACGGCGCGACAGGTCGGATTTATGCTGCCCTGCTGCTCGCTTTATTCTCAATCTATCGTTACTTTCTCTATTTGTGGTTAATTAATGCTTTATTACCGAAATACGACCGGTTAAAAACTCACCACGAAACAACGCCGTATGGAAGTCTGACCACACGGTGAAAAAGAGGGCGCTGGGAGGAAATGACGTAACATAAGTACCAAATTTCCACGCTTGTGATTGGTCGGTTGGTGCGAATGGGGGCGGGCGTAGCTCTGCAAGCTGGCCACCAGGTGGGGTTTCCTGCCATGTGCCGCAGTGATGGCAGCGGAGGTAACCAGAGGTCGGATGAGTCTCCCATATTAAGACAATAGAGATGGAAAGACCATATTAAGATAATGCTGAGACGCTGACTTCTCGGTGAAAGACTGACCTGTGTTGCAACTATGTTTGCCAGCAGAGATAAAGAGTTCCAGGCAAAGGGGACATAGTATGTACACAATGACACAGCGAGTTGAGAAATAATTTAGATGAATAATTTTAATGGTGTTTTTATGTGCCGAAAGTTTTACTGTAATCCAGACAGGACACGTTAATGGTGGGAAACTGAACTGACTCACAGCCAGATAAGTAGGTTTGCTGGTAATGATGTGTTGATTCAAAACTTATGTTTGGATGGATGTCAAGGACGTTAGAGGATCTTACAAATAAGGCTAAAAAAGAAGGAGTGGGGTGGTGTCACATGGTGGAATAACATGTTTTTTATTTCTGGGGAAAATCCAGGTTGTCTAAACATATTTGTTTTGCCCATCAGAGCCTCATAATTGATTTATTATGCTCACTCAAACTAAAGACACTGGTAGGTTTGTCCTTTTGCATTCAGCATCTGAAACCATGGTCCATAATGCTGACACAAATTCACACACTGTGTCAAATCCCTGATTAAATGATTAAATAGTCAGCAGTAGTCATTGGACGTGACACAGATTGTCATCCAAAACTTGCTATTATTCACATAATATAGAGATTTATGCATCTGATGAACTGCAGATACAATATTTGGAGACAAAATCAAATAAAAAGAGAAATTAGTATTGAATAAGCTTAGTAAACATATATTACTCCTAAGTAGCTGATCTGTGATGAATAATTAACTTTGTTTTCAGCAGATAGCTGAAACCCCTCTGCTGCTTATCTCTGTCTCACAGCGTTATGATAAGTTTTTGGCATCTATGTTCTGGTAGTCGCTGCAATATGCTGAGCAGAACTTCTTTCTAATCTCTTAGTCTGCAATCATTATAGATTGGCAGTCAGTCATTGTCTTTTATCCTGTTCAGTTAATGAGAGGAAAGTACAGAACATGCACTTCAGGTACTTAAACTTGATTGTTTTAGGAGACAGCTTGAAAGTGGTCATCCATTCTGGTATATTGTCCTTTTTAGTAAAGGATTTCATTCAGTTATCAACAAATAAAGTAACCAAAAGTATCAGATTTATGTATCCAGCAGCCTGTTTCTGGTTCAGCACACAGCTGAAAGTCTGAGTTGAAACAAGCTTAATATGAAGTCTGTTGTGTCATTGTGACCCCTGCCCAGTTTGGGACAAGAATTCAGTATGTCATGCGATTGAGCCGTGTGTGCACTAAAACGGTTCAGAGGTCAGCCAGGCTTCAGGCACAACTGTTAAATCATACACACTGAGAATAGTGGGTTCAGGGTTTTATTTTCTTAAACATCCTTTTTAAAAAGAAAAAAAAAAAAAAAGGTTGAACACGCTATTGCATGAAAATACATCTCAAAAGGAATATCAAAACAAAAATCATTACATTTTAAGGCAGATTAATGTGTTACATATTGTGTACAAACAATATCAGAATATAAATATCCATTGTGTTATTGGAGAGTCCTTTAAGCCTCTCCAGGTTTTAAATTTGTGCTGGGGGTTAAAGTGCATTATAGAGGTCTGAGCTGAATCTGGGACACTGTCTTGAGTAACGATAGATTAGGTCACTGCAGTTTTTTTGAGATTACATGGATTTATTCTACAACTGGGAAAAACCAGAGGAATTCCCACTGAGGCGTTTCTAAAAACACCCGAGTCTAAATACTCTTTAAAGGATTAGGATTTCTTTTTTACAACATTGTAGTGCAATACAGAACATCACAGCATACCTATATTAATATTAAAAATACTTTCTCCAGAGTTACAAAACAAAATGTCTTCCTGGTTCGTGAACTTCAGCAAAGCACATTTCATGGAGCAAATCCTCCACATCTCTCTTGTATCGTGCGTATTAGTCATATAGACAACAAGTGTTCTATTTCTGCGCTCGCCAGTCTGCAGCTCTTATGAGCAAAACATCATCAGGCTCATCTGCACTGTAGCGGTTCTTTCCTGTTCTTCACTCTGTGACTTTCTCTCTTCTTTCTTTTCAACATCTTCTCATCAACTCTTCCCTTCAGGACTTCAGTCCAACACGAGTCATCATCTGCTCATACACTGTCCACGCCATGGCGGCCATCATGGTCCTCCTCAGTGTCCGTGGAACTGCCCCTCTGAAGAACCCCTGGAGTCCATGTTCCTGAGAGAGAGAGAGAGAGAGAGAGAGAGAGAGAGAGAGAGAGAGAACGGTGGAAGAATATACGTCAGATATAATCATTAATAACGTCATGCAGCCAAAACATAACCTGGACTGGCCTGGAAATCATGGAGTAAGTAAAAGAGGGATGAGATAATTACCATATAGATGTATCTGATAGCCTCGCCTGTCCGCAGCTGTGGATTCACTTGGACCTGTGTTTTAACCACATCAGCAGGCTGAGTGATCAGAGAGGCCAATATACCCGCCATGATCCCACAGCTGAAGTTAGCCAAGGGGGCGGACGCAGACGAGCTGATTTCTTCAAGGAAAACAGAGAATAGGGATTTAATCCAAATGAAAGACCCACAGTTTCTGTGTCCTTTAATAGGGTTATTTGTATTACTGAATGAGGTCTGGCTGTACACTTACCTTTTGGCAATGAGGCCTTGGACTGGCTGTAGAACATGACGTAGATACCAGAGAAAGGAACATCTCTGAGGAGAGTGGCCATCAGGCCAGAGAACAGAGCTGCAGGACCTTCAGTCCGACACACACTGCACAGAGCCCCAGTCACACTCCCATAGCTGTACCTGCCACACTGAAACAAAAACACACCTTTAGTTCAGTTTAATACTCACAACACACATACAGACAACACACATTGTGCAACTCATTCTTATGGCAATCTAATGTTCTGTCTAGTAGTTTATACTATAAGTCTGACTCAAACAAACTAAAAGATGCCTTTCGTATGTCTGTGCATGCAGTTAAAAATGAGATTATCTTATTTCATGGATATGAATAAGATCAGTTGCAGCTCTAATAAATTATAATTTTATAATAACACAAAGTGATCATATCAGGATCTTATGGACATTCAGGAATTGAGCTAAACTTGGCGAAAATAGTTTAACGAAAGGTAGTGGCATTATGCTGTTTTTTTTTGGTTTTTTTTTAGTTCATATTAAATGTTTTCCTATTCATCAACATAAAGTAGGGTGGCGGTATGGAACCACTGGTTTAAGTTACAGTATTGGGGCATTTAGAGAAATCTATTACCCAACAGACTGACATTTTAAACAAAGTACCACAACAAACACATCTCCTCCACACACAAATGTCTGCCACTGCTTACTTCAAAGCGGGTCTTGATGACAGTAACTGGCAACATGAAGACCCCTGCCACCGTCCGGGCCCCGCCTCCCAGCAGCACAGCCTGTATGGCCCGTGGGCTGCTGTCCGGGAAGAAGTGCTGCTTTAGAGAGTAGTAGGTGCTGAAGTAGATCCCCACTCCTGGGATGGTCCGAGCAAAGGACTGGAGGAGCAGATGGATGAGAGAGCAGAGTTAGAAAAGGACTTTAATGCACACAGAAGAGTTTCTATATGACAGCACGTGGATGAAAAGAAGGTATGAAAAGATGTTCTAACCGGTGAGATTCCCTTCCACAGTCCCAGCAACCTCTCTGTCCGCACCACGCTCAGGAGCACAGTCACCATCCCCACTCTGCCCGAACTGAAAGAGGAACACTCAGATAAGCTGACAGAATGGTAAATCATGAACACTGCTTTGATGAGCTGAATGTGTGATACAAGGTTTAGCTGAGGTAAAACTTTCTATTGTGTTCATCCAGTCAATAGAGCAGTTTTTGGAGGTCACAGGGCAAGAAAGCATGTGATAGAATGAAAAGCTAGTGATACCGATAACTATGTGTGTGTGTGTGTGTGTGTGTGTGTGTGTGTGTGTGTGTGTGTGTGTGTGTGTGTGTGTGTGTGCAGACTCACCCAGGCTGCATGCTGCTCTGTAAGGTCTGCAGACGGGTCTTGACCAGGTCGAGAGGCTGGAAAAGCAGTGTGGAGCAAGTCCCACTGAAGGAGCCACACATGAAGGCTTTGATAGCTGGGTGAGCCTGAGGGGAGGAGAGGGGAGGGTTAGACAGACACAAGGAGAGAGGAGGTATGGAGTTAAAGGAGTGGGAGAAAGCGAGGGAGGATACGATGGAAGATAAACCGGGGGGCAGCTAATAATAATTTGATTTACAGCATTGCTACTCCGTGAAGCCTCTTTGTTGAGCACAAAAATTATTTTCAAAACTTCAAAAAAAAAAAAACTACTAATGTTTAATAATTACATTTATTTATTATTAGTAAGTAATTATTTTGTTTCGCTAACCTTGGCTCCAAAGCTACTGATAAGCCACAAGGCATTTAATCACTTATAGTAGTTATGCAAGTAACAGTCATAGTATGATTAGCCCTAACCCTACCGTTTTTTCCAAATAAATGTTTTAATGTCCTAAGATGACATGAATTCACTCAATTATTGGTTCTTTGAGGGTGTTAACGCATTGTTTTTTTCCCTATAAATAATATTATAAATAATGTCAAGTCTAAAATGACTAATACAGCTTTGAAACAAGTATATTTTTACAATTATGTTAGGTTAAACAAACCATGTATTATTCTTCATTACTTTCACATTGCGTATACACTGTGCTAGACACTAAAAAATGAACTCTGTCATATCCACCCTAGTTATATTATTCAGCTGTGATGTAACAACAGTTTCCCTCCATAAACCTGAATACTGTAGCCGCCTTTCACCTGCTCTCACTTTATCTGCAGCTCTACTAACACCTGTGGACTCCCTGCATGTCCTGTCAGAAAGACAAGTGTAAAATGGGTCATGAGCAGGTCAGACAGGATGCCCCGACCTCGAGTTAGTTATAAAAAACGACAAGGGTGATCCTTCCACTCAGACCGAATAAAAGAAAGCCTCATCACCTTTCACTAATATCAGATAAACATAAAGTGTACATTGTGGCTCCGGCTGGGAAACTCACCAGAGACAGTTCCATAGTTCTTAGTACTTTATCCTCCTCTTGTAGCGTCTTCACTCTGCTGCCGTCCACTCTGAAATACCTAACAAAAAGAGGAAAAAGGAGAAGTGGCCTTTGAGTAATGGGGTCAGTCACTTATACAACACAGTTTACGGAGCATCTCTTACAGATGATGAGGGAGCATGTGCACAGTCTGGCTGTCTGTGTCAGGCTGCAGGTGATTATATATACACACACACACACACACACACACACACTAAGTATACAGATCACCTGACGAACACTGCGTTTCCTATTTGCGACCACCCAACACACAGCTATTCATTAACTAACTGAAGATCACTGCGCTACATATTAGGATGGATCTGCTGCGTGTCACTCTGCTGCATGCTTTTCACGTGTGTGTGATTGTGAACTAATGCAATCTGTGTGTGTGTGTGTGTGTGTGTGTGTGTATGTGTGTGTGTGTGTGTGTGTGTTAGAAAGCATGATGCACTAGACCAGTGCTTCTCAATTTTTTTGTGTTCATTTAAAAAATATCTGTCATGCATTATTCCTAAAATGATTACACCATAAGTTCAATAAAAATGCACACGTAAGTTCAACAAACCACGTTTTATATTCAGTATTCCTGTTATCAATGCAATCATTTACTGCCTCTGGAACAGAGTTTGGTGCAGTAAAACCTCCCTGAGAATGACAAAGATCCTCAGTGAAGCACAAGCCTAAAGTTTCTCACTAAATCAAAAAGATGCAGTTCAGTGCAATTTCAATGCAGTCTTATTGTGTGATGACAAAAATAGAAAAAGTGATGGATTCTAAACTAAATTTAAGTGTGTTTCCTAATAAATCAGACACTGATGGTGCAGCGCTGTATTGCACTGATCAGAGGGTATTTGGCTGAAATATGAATTCAAAAGGGAGCACATGAATGAAGTTTGCACTAGAGTTATCTGGGTAATGACTGATTCAGCACAAGGGGGTAAAAAATAGTCTGGGAACATCATTTGGTGAGCAGTGTCTTGGTTTGTTTCCTCTAAATGGATTGTGGGGTTAAAGTTTTGGTTATAATGTATTCAGACATGTATTCAGTTTCAACCAAAGTGGGACATTAAAGGAAAAGAAAGCAGATATAGTTCATTATCTAACAACCTGATAACGCCAATATCATTTGACATTTCTGTATTTTCCTTAAAACACTACAATATGATTATTAATGTTCTTATGAGACTACTGTGTGATATCTACATGTGGAGCCACAATTACCAATTCATATGAAACAAACATTAAATAGGCCTATAGTTGAGGTGAGTTCCTCTGTTGCTTACCTTCTGCAGTACGCACAGATATGACAAGTCTGAAGCCATTGTTGAGCTTCTGGCATGAATCCTCTTCAAAAGCCTTCAGTAAAACACATAAAGGACGTTAAATAAAACTCAAACAGCCGTGTTTAACAGCCCTCCCCCTGTTCCATTAAATATGTGGCCTTACTATGTTGTCGCAGGCAAGTTGTCCCTCCGTCGAGAGCCCGAGAAATAACACCAACGCAGTTAAATGTGAGCGTAAATCCTTCTGACCGAGTGTAACAACCCGAGCACAGACACACCTGTAAGCTCACCTGTCTCTGAACCTCTGCGCTGTAACCATATACTGCCAATAGCTGCAACATGAAAACTGTCCCATTCACAACCGGCCGGTTCCTGTTTGACGACGCTGCGTCGTGTAACTGCGAGGAAGCCACGCCCCATTTAGGAGCTCCTGGCTTCTGATTGGTTAACCAGCTGAGCGTGACGTGAGATATTAAACGAGCACCAATCAGGAGCCGAGAACCAGACCAGACCCCCTCGAAAAGTCCAGAGCCATTAAGATTTTATATATATATATATATATATATATATATAAAAAATAAGAAGATATATTATATATAAGAAGGTATATTATATCTTAATGGATCTGAAAAAACCCATTTAGGCAGAACAACTGTGTATTTAATAAACTACATCCATCAAGTTGAGGGATTAAAAAAAGTTTTACTTTGAAACAAACAAACCCCTCATGTAAATATCCCGCACATCTTAACACGCAGTAAAAGTACTTAAGTGTCATCAGCAAAATATATTTAAAAGTAAAAAAAGAGCTTTATACTGAGCTTAATACGTTCACATATTGCATTACTATTATTGCTGCTTTAATGTGTGTTGTTTGTTTGTATTTGATATTAATTTATAACTAGCAACTAGATGTAGAGTAAAAATTACTGTAGAACATAGAAATACTCCAACTACCTCAAACCTGTTCGTACCTCCACCACTAAGAATAACCGGGACATTTCTATCCATATTTAAATCACAAGTGTGGTTTAGTACCAGAAATCTTAACGTAACAACAAACTGCTCATGTCGTGACTAGAAGTGTTCACCTCAAAGTTGTCTTATAACGGAGGACCAAATAAAAAAGGTGTTCTCACCCAAATATCCTCATCCTTGTTTACTATTTTTAAACTCTGGTGAAACCGGTTCTGACTTGCTTTAAAGAAAACCCTGACTGCCCTCTGCTGGACAAAATACATCCCTTCAATAAAAACATCAACTTCAGCCTCAGATCGAGTTCTGAAAATCAAAATCAATATGAAATAATGACACAACATGTAGCAGTTTAGAAAGCCTCTTTAATTGCAATAATACCAACATTTCACAACATGATTTCCATTCCAGAGGTGCAGACAAACAAACATTACAGAAGAATTGTTGGAGATGGTTTTTTTTTTTCCTTCCTTTTTTGGATTTACATTGTTTTTTTGTTTTTTTTTAAGTGCGCTGTGAGCTGTTATTAAGTAACAACACATTCCTCTCACTTCCCAGCAGTGTGAGCCAAAAGCCACCCCTGAGTGCAGCCTGTGAGGGGTTTAACATCATCCTGACACAAAGAGCTGTTTGTTTGTTTTTTTCCTTCTATAGAACTGTTCATCTAATACATCTACTCAACACCTGGCTACATATTAAGTCCCCATGTGTACATGAAGCCCAATCAGCCCGAGTATAGCGTACAGGTTACAGTGATGAAGTACGTCCCTTCCTCCTGAATCTGCCTTTGGTTTGTAACAACCTCAGCTACTCCTCCCTCCCAAGCTGTGCTCTGAGAATACAGTGTGTGCTGTGAGTAATAAGCTACCCCACCACCCCATTTAACCTTCAACATTAACAAAAACACTGATAGTGATAAATGTAAAAATCAATGCACGTCCAGAAAGCCAACCACCCCGCCCAGTAGGATTCAGCTGTATTTAAGGCTTTAGTGTGCGTCGGCAAGTTTGTGCACTAAACTAAATGAGCATGTGCACGGTTTGTTTTCCAAAACTTCCAAGCTTCTCCGTCAACGTTTCAATGAAAACACACAAATGCAGTGGTTTATAATGTCAAGGCTTAAGTATTTGTTTTTGTTTCATCTCAGTGCAAAATGAAGAAATTTCCGCACAGTCACAATCAAATGCCTTCAGTATGCGTCAATGAGTCTCCAATTGTGATACTTGAAATCTGCCTCCAATTTAAAACTTTCCACATGAAATGTGTGTAGATCAAATCATTAAGCTCAAAAGCGTAGTCTGGAGTACTAACTGCAGCTAAATTGATAGAATACATTTCAGCATATAAACCTTCATTATAAACTGAGGCGAGAGCGCGAGCATAATAAACATGAAGCACTTCCATTCTTAACCATTATAAAAACTTCTGCATAAAATACAATTCTATAGATTGAGATATTACTTTGGTCCCCTTCCAGTAAATCTGTCTTCATTTATGTATACTTCTTTCTTTGTTTTCTCTTTCTTCAATTAGAAAAATAGATCCTAAATCAGGACTATTATAATTGGAATGTTTCCTTATAAAAATATTATTTTATTTTTCCCAGAGAATGAAAAATGAAGCAAAACAAAAAATTTGGCCCAAAAAAAAATAATGTGTGTGTATTTGTCAGCATGGTGATTGTCCCACTTTACTGGCTTCTGTATGTGTGAAAGTGTGTTAAGAATGCATAGATTGTCAGTGTTGAACAGATCACTGTCGCACGACTAAACTCTAGTTTCAACAACATTCTCATGTTTGTGTTCCTCTCCGTTCAGTAGGTACAGTAATGTGTGCTCATATGTGAATTTGGGTCGGTCTATTTATGATGCAGTTTAAGGAGTCAAGTGGCACTGTGGCTGTTCATTCAGGCTTGGGCTCAGAGGGCTCGCTCTTTGGCTCGCTCTCCTCGTCGCTCTCGAGACCACCGCGGGGAACTGTGCGGCGCACGGTGAAGGGGAGGTCACCGCGCCTAAAACAGACAAGAGAAAATTAAACAGTGACCACAATGATTCCCAAATACATTTATACGCAGCAGGACTGGGCGTTACCTCAATGACTGCTACAACTGTCTGTAGATAAAAATTAAAGCTACTGGTACTCTAAAGTCCCCTTTCCCACCTGAGCTTGTTCTTGAGGGTGGTGACTTCACGGTTCATGGCGTCCGCCGACTCCGTGGCGTCCTCCAGCTCCCTCTGCAGTTTCCTTCGGTTGGCGTTTGCTCGCTGAGCCTCTTCCTCAGCCTCCTCCAGCTGACGCTTCAGCTGCTTCATGCGAGAGTTCAACTTGTCGACCTATAATTCGACACAGATGTTAGTTAGATATACAACTCTTTCCAATGCTGATCTTCATAATACGTCTGATATATTGCTGAGGAGCTGCCTAATATTTCATCTGACAGCATTTAAATCACCAGCTTATTCTGGCCCCTTAACAATTTCCCTTATATAGCAGATCAGTCACAAGGAATGTGGAAAGTACAGATGTAGATCTAAAAACACATTACACTGATAATACTCAGGAAAGCCAGAACAGAGAGACAGAATTGGCCAACGTAAAGCTCTGGGATTATGGAAAAACTCTGACCTGGTCCTTGTGCTGCTCTGTGTTGCGTCTCTCGTCATCCACCTGCAAGATGACTTCCTTCAGTTTCTTCTCTGTGCGCCTCACAAGCTTGGTGGCACCCTGCCTCTCCCTGAGTGAAGAGCACAACTGGTCAGACTCACGTACTGTCAAGCTATTGTTACCTGGTGGTGTATTTAGATCCTCTAATTACATATAAGCAGTAATATTGCAATATAAAAATGTTACATTATAAATTAAAAATATGCATTGAAAATCCTTAAATTGTAATTTAAGTATCAAGAGTAAAAGTGTGCAGGAAAATGTCCCCTGTGAGGGTTATTATACATAGCCGACCAGCTTACAGGCCAATCTGGACGTTATTATTATTATATATTTAACTACCAGCCTACATTTAAACAGCAATAAAACACAAACATTATGACAAATACATTAACTGACGATGAACCAATCCTTTGCATAATATAAGTTTCCATTTAAGTTGTTTTGGCAAAATATCTAAAAAAGGTCACACAACATTAGGCTTAATATGCTTTTAATTTTGTTTTTTATTTTTCTAGTATTTGTCTATTTAGCACGTTTCCCAATGGACATTTAGGGCCATTGATGTTTTCATCTGCCAGACAACTACATGTGATACCGGCTAACGTAAAATGTGGTATGTAACAGTAAAGCTGTGAAAGTAAGGGTGGTGTAAAAAATACATGTAGTGAAGCAGGCTATCACCTGGTCTCCATGTCCAGCTGTTCCTCCAGCTGGGCAATCTTTGCCTCCAGGGCGGCCATATTGGCCTTGTACTTGGACTTGACTGTTCCCTCCAGCTCCTGCAGCTTCAGTTTCAGCTCCTTGTTCTGACGCTCCAGTTGGGCCCGGGCTCCTTCCACGCGCTGAGAGCTGCTGCGCTCTGCTGTCAGCTCCACATTCATCTGGTCATTCTAACAAAACAAAAGTTGGACAGGGACACTTCACTATAACTGGCTCAATCCAAAAATGGAGAAGAATCAATGTTTCCTCTGCGGTTACACTACTGGGTGTTAACAAAAGCCTCCAATCACTTCAACTTATATGGGCTAACAACTCTGTCAACAGGCACGTTAACTATAACCAGTTGCTCTGCACTCTTCTACACTGACCTGCAGCATTGCCTTCTTCAGCCTGTCGTTGGTCAGCTCAGTGTTGCACTGCTCCTCTTCCAGCTCCTCCTCCAGCTGAGCAATGCGAGCCTCCAGCCGTCTCCTCTCCTCTACCACTTGAGCGCTGAGAGATGAAGAAAAGGTGGGAGGTATATGCACACAATAAGTCAGTAACAGGTGATACACACAACTGACAGTTGTGCCATTTTACTGCAGATTGATAGATTTCTTACTTCTTGCTGGCCTGGTTGTTAATCTCATCCTGCAGTTCATCTCTCTCCTGCTGGGCCTGTCTCTTTACTCGCTCTGCAGCTGCCAACTCCTGCACAGAGGATGAACGAGCAGACGGCAATAAGTTTATGTGTGAAACAGAGGCAAGAGAAAAGAATAGAGAGTTAAGCAGATAAGCATGTTGACCTCCTGCATCTGGAGCATGTCAGCCTCCATGCCCTTCAGCTTCTTCTCTGTCTCCTTGCTCTGAGCGAGGATCTCCTCTCTGGACATGCGAGTATCCTCCAGCTCCCGGATGAGATCCTTCATCTGGGCCTACAAGAACAGTCATACACGGTTAGTATTGAAACACATCATTGAGTTGATGTGGATGCTTTTATTGTGTTGAAGATAATCCAACAGCTGACTCACTTGGAGTTTCTTCAGCTGTTTCAGG